GTGGAAATTCTCTCCAGTGCCCTAGTTTTGATGTTGCTGAGGGTCTGAGCTGCCACCTGATACAGAGCCGCAGACCGGGCTCGGGCCCGCCTCCCTCTCCTTGGCCCTAAGTGCTTTCTATCCATTTACACGTATCCCGGATAGCAGTGTTGCATAGTGGTTCAGAACTTGGACAATCTGGGTTTGAATCCTGCCTCAGTGCAGAGTCGGACGGACTGGCCGAGTGATCACTGGGTGATCTCTGCATCTCCACGTCCTCATTTGTTGAACCTTACAAGGATGTTTGCTCTGAGCCTGAATGATTCATGTACCTGAAGGGGTGAGCATAGTACTTGGCCCATAGTTAGAATGTGTGTCAACTATTTCTTTAGAGGAGTTCTCAACCTGGGGTGATTTTGCCTCCCAGGGGACACAATGGCAATGTCTGGAGACATTTTTGGTTGTCACAACCAGGGAGGAGCTGCTCCTGGCATCTAGTGGATAGAGCCCAGGGTTGCTGCTAAATATCCTACGACGCCCAGGACTGTCCTCACAACAAAGAATTCTAAATTCTCCATTGTGCCAAGGTTGGGAAACTCTGCTTTAAAGCACCCCCAGTGATTCAGGGCGGTATGTGGAACGTGGAGGTGGGGTCCTGCCCTCCCCCCCGACCCCATAACTCTTCACCCTTATCATTCCTTTGAGCCAGTTGGGGGCCGATGGGTGAACTGGGAGGGAAAAGGGAGGAAAGGAAGCTGGGTATGTTAAGCCTTTGAATTCTTACTGTTTAGTCTTATTCCCACCCCCCCCATTCTATAACAAAAATATCACTTGCATTGTCTATTATCACCTTGTGATCTTATCATTAGAGTAACTAGTGTTTATTGAGCGTTTGCTGTGTGCCATGTACTACGCCTAGTGCTCTCTCTCTGTTGTCTCATTTTCACAGCCCTGATAGGCAGGTGCCATAATCATCCCCATTCTACAGATAAGGAAACTGAGCCTTATTGATGGGAAGGCTCTAAGCTGTCTGAAATTCAACCCCTGGTCCTTTTCCAAAACTGTTCCACCTGCATCTCTCCCATCTTGGTTGATAGGAGTGCTGCCTTCAGTTGCTCAGCCCGCAGGCCTGGGGGTCCCCACCCCATGTACCTGCCCCCACTGCGTGCCGCGCCCACTGGCCCTCCTGATGTCCCGTCCACTCCTTTTTCCTGGATTCCTACCATGCCCTCCCCCTGCTTCTGCTCTCAGCCCCCCACCTCCTCTCTGTGTCTGAGTCAGGGTGGACCTGCCAACACCCAAGTCAGGCCAGGCTATATACCTCTGCTTGCTGCCCCTTCTTACAGGTCCAGGTCAGGTTTCCCAGAGGCCTCAGTGCCCTGGGCCCCTTGTCCCCGTGCACGTTCCCTTCCTATGGCTTTTCTTGCTCTTCCTCCAGCACACCCCACCCTGGGGGCCTCCGTCCAGCTCTGCTCTGGGCTCCCGCGGCTCACTCCATCCCCCCGTTCCAGGCTTGGCTCAGGAAGGCCCACCCGGCCACCCCACCTTCCTGATCCCCTCCCCCAGCTTGGTTTTTATCCTAGAGCTTGTTGGTCACCTTCTTCCATCCACGCTATATTATTTCCCATTGGTTGATTTTTATTTTGTTTTGTCTGCTCTCCCCTCTCACCAGAGTATGTAGGGATTTTTGACTTTTTTTGCTGATATATCCCAATACGTAGTAGCTGCTGAATACATTTGTTGATTGAATGACTTCCCCACGGCCACCTGGCTGGTAATGGGGTCACCAGGTTGCCACATCTTCACCTTCACGCATGTTGCTCCGTCCTCCCCATCCCATCCAGGGCAGCATCTCCCAGATCTGGCTGCTCACCACGTTTTGACTCTGTCTCCGGAACACTTTGCAGATGTCCACTGTAGGAATGACTTTATCTGAAGGGGTTCTGCCCTACTTGCCAGCCCCCGTGGGCTTCTCCGTGGCCCATGGAGTCCAGCCCTAGCTCTTCAGCCTATCCCCGGGGCCCTTACCAGCAGGCCTCCCATGCTCCTGCCTGCAGCCACCCTGCCAGTCCATGCTCTTACCCACCTGCCAGCATGCCCCCACCCTCCCCTTCACCGTCCCTTCCCTGTCACCCCCCAGCCCAGGCCCTGGCTCCCTCCTGGTCCGGCGGGAGCTTCCCCTCCAGCTCTGCCCCAGAGTCTTCTTCCCGCTGCCGCCACAGTGGTCTTGTGAAGCTCAGACCTTACCTGAGGACCCCCTTTTTCAGCGCCTCTCCTCACCCCTCTCTGAGACCCCTGGGGTCCAGTACCAGCTCACCTTGACACCTCTCACCCAACACCTTCTTCCTCCAGGTTTTCCAAAGACTAAGTCTTCTCTGGATGCCTTCCCGCAGGGCTGGGTCAGGCTCCCAGCTGCGTGTCCTCAGGGCACCTTGCTCTTACCTTTGTGTCTGCACTTACCCCAGTGTCTGTGGGTGCGCATACCTGGGTGTGACTTGCTGGGAGCCCCTCATCATAGGCAGACTACGGCTGTTTTGCTCAGCTGTCCATCTTCGGTGCCTAGCACAGGGCCTGGCATGTAATAGACACTCAGTAATCGTTCAGAGAACATCCCTGTGCCTCCAGTGCCCCTCTCCTTCCTCTCTGCCAGCAAACTCCTATTCATCCTTCAAGACCTAGCTCCAGTTTCCTCTCCCTGGAGCTCCTCCTCCGTGTTCTCGCAGAGCTTTGCACATTCCTTATCCTGCCACTTACTCCCTTGGGCGCAGGCCCTGGCCTTTCCCTGCTGCTCCTGCCACTTACTCCCTTGGGCGCAGGCCCTGGCCTTTCCCTGCTGCTGTGGAGCTGCTCTGGGGGAGGGGGGAGGCACGGCGCGGTCCTCGCATCTGACACTCTGGTGGTGTTTGTGTCTTAGCCCGAGCTCCGTCTTTGGCTCGTCGTTGCTGTTTGTATTGTTTTCCGTTTGCTGTGTGTAGTGTGATTTCCTCAGCATCATGGTCGCTTCCTGGAAGGAGGTGTCACAGCCCCACCTTTGTATCTCCTGTTCCCTGAGCCTGACACAGGGCTGTGTACCCCAAGAAAGGTTTTAGTGAATCCTTCTTGAGTCTGTGTCACGTCTACTTCAGGTTCCAGGGCCCGTGGCAGCTTGAGAGGCACCTTGACATTCTTTTTCTCATTCTGGACCAGCTTTATAATTTGCGGGGCCCCATGCAGGGCCCCTTGTTCAAAAATGATGAAGCGTTTCAAGACTGTGATAGTAGAGCTCTAAACCAAGGATGGGGCCTTCTAGGCCTCAGCTCATGAAGCCTGCCCTGATCTCATTGTATCCAATGAGGGAAGACATGGTAGAGGTCATGATTTCCTTTTTACAGAGGGCAAAATGAAGGGCCCAAAGGGCAGTGACCAACCTCAGGGTGCACAGCTGATCGGCAACAAAGCAGAACTGAAAACGTTCCAGCCCCTGGAGCATGCTTACTGCCTTCCACTGGCTCAGGGGCCCCCAGGACTTTTGAGCCTCAGTTTTCTCTGTAAAATGGGGACATTGAGCTGATCATAAAATGCCAACTAGAACAGCTGGTCGCAAATCCCCGGACAGTCTCATCAGGAACTGTGGCCTTTGGATGCCTTCCCCTTAAAGTCACTAATGCAAAGCTACTCTCTGCTTCTTGGAAGGACCTCAGTCCTGTAGACAGTAGGAGGCTAATTGGCTGTTGTGGTAGTTGAAGAAATTAAAGCCCTCAGAAGTGGGAGAAGCCTGTCTCTTCTCATCTCTTTTTGAAGGAATGTGGGGACTTGGGTGGAAGTTTCCCCAGGGAGCCTTGGTATTTTGGTGCTTTGATATCTAGAGGAATAAAAGAGCAATTAATTGCTAAAGATGCCTGTTCCCGTAGGGGTGGCTGTTCCCGCAGTCTGAAGGTGGAGAGAGTGTCCCCATAGGGGCAGTCTGAGGACAGAGGGAGTGGCGGGGGTGGGTGACAGTTCCTCCATCCGAGGGCCCTTGCTGCTTGAGGAGATACGCAGACCAGAGCCCCGGAGGGTTCGAGCTTCTGAAGTCTCGCTCTCCGGGAAACACATTTTCTTTAGGGGGCCCCCTCACCGCGAGTGAGCATCTTTCTTTGCCGAAAGACAGTGGAAGAGGGGTTTCCCAGCTGTCCTTGGTCCCACATCTCCCGCAGAACAGGTTTCTCAAAGTGTCATCCTCAGACCTCTGTCCTCACAGCAGGGCTGAGAGTTGGGAGTCCGCCGGTTGGAACCGAGATCAGTGCACACAGTGGAGGAGGTGGCTGGGCTGGTGCAGTGGGCACCGCTCCCTGGTGCCCCCCACCTGCCTCCGCCTGTGCTCCTGCCAGAGTAACCTGCACGGGACCTCAACGATGAGGCTATGCGGCAGGGGCAAGAGAGAAGACAGTGTTCTTTGATCCCTGCAAGAGATGTGTTAGGGGCCTGGAGACATGCGGGCAGGCCGGTAGGTTGTAAATGACCTGCAGCTGTGTTCTATGTGCATTGGGGGGGGCGGTTAGTTTATGCTTACATGTCCAGCTACGGTTGTTCACTAGGCATAGGACAGACAGAAACACATGTCTGAGTGCAGAGCAGGTAGAGAACCGTGGTGCCCGTGCCTGGCTCAGGTTCTGTGTGGTGGGTAGGATGCCTTCTTGTGCAGGTGCAGGACTGCGCATCAGCTGCCTGGAGTGACTCACCTCTGGGGCTACGTCTCTGAGGGCAGCTCTCAGCTGGACTTGGTGACTAACCCGAGGCAGGAGGGTGTGCGGTGACCTGCTTCAGCCAGAAGTGACAGGCGAGCGTAGCTGCAGTCAGCACCTGATCCCAGAGGTGTTGGTGCAGGTTCCCGGGGCTGGCCAGACACACAAGTATTTCCGGATCGTGGCAGAGCCTGCTGCCAGGAGCTTCCCGCCAGTGTGGTGGGTCCATCAGCGTGGGGCGTGAGCTCCAGCTTCGACTCCGGCAGCCCCGCGGGTCCTCCCGGCTCCTCCCATGACCCGTGTTCTGTGTTTCCACAGGGCCCCACCTTCCTATTTCTCCCCGGCCACAGCCCGCCCATCACAGTTGAGCAGCTGTTTGCCTGAAGTTAATTTCCAGAGGCAGGTAAGGACCCCAGGGGAAGGACTTCTGGTGGCAGGCCATAGGGTAGTGCTGGGGAGCGGGTCTTGGGTCTGGGCTGCGGGGCTCGAGTGGAAGGGAGCTCCTCTCGCTTCCTTCTTCCACCAAGCCCGCTACTGCTCATTTCTCCTGCCGCTGTGGGCCCTTCTCGTCAGTGCCGTGGCGTGGCTCATTTCTTAAGGCTAAGATGTGTGTAGTCTCTGGATTAATATTTTGTGTCAGTTCTGTGAATCACAGTTATATGATGTTGTTTTACATTGCATACATGTAAATGTACCTTTTTTAATGTGAGCATTTAAAATATATCACAACTTTTTAAAAAAATGGATAGAACAAAAGACAAGTGCTGGGACCCATGGAGCAGAGGTGGATTGTGTGTGTCAAGGATGCTCTGGCTGTCTGGCCCCAGCCTGAGGTGACTCACTGTTTTCCAAGCAGGTGTAAGACCACCCCGGGTATAAATGTAAATTCCAGTTTTATAAATGTGGGTATTCAAACAGCATGAGCTTCAAGTTTATAAATAAGAATGCGCGCAGGTGGCTGTGTTTGCATTCAGGGCCGCTTATGCCTGTCCAGAGGAGGCCGGCTTTCAAAGCTCTTTATCGGAATGGGCCTGATTGCTGCAGGGGACACTCGGTGGTCCAGCTCTGGGGTTCCTCCTGCGCCACGGTTCTTCTAAAGTGACAGCCACTGCTTCAAAGCTGGAGACCGAGTTCTGGGAGAGGCTAGATCCCTGCAGGGCAGGGCAGGAGCATGCTGTCTCACCTGTGGCCTCGGTGTCTCCCACGGAATGCAGTGTGGCCTCTTAGGCCATGGGCCACTTTGTCACTTTGGATCCCTCCTAGTGGTTGGGATCCCCGTCCCAGTCAACCTTCCTCCCACAGAGATGCGGGCTCAGAACCAACAGGAACATAGGGGGTGTGGTAGGGAGTATGTCTGTGTGTACGCATTGAATGTATGTCCCTTGGTTTCCCCTAATTGCATTTGTCCCATTTGCAGATGTAAGTTTCTGGACTCCTCCCCACTTTTTGTGTAACACGTGGCTATCTCCAGCAGCATCTGTAGCCATGGGCCCTGCCCTCACCATTCATTTGGGTAGTTGATGGTTTCCTGTTTCTGTTTTCATTTTCTGGCTCGTCTACATTTTTCCCTAGTTAGCTCCCACAGTGGTAGCAAGGAGAGGGAGCAGGTCTGTCTCTGACTTGGGCCGTTAACACTGAGACATTTTCTCAGGACTTAGAATGGAAATGCCGCCACTGTAGATGATGGGATGTTTCCGGACCAGCTGGGAGACCATAACTGAGAAGCACTGTTACCTTTGCCTCTCATGGCTCAAGTCTGCACAACTACTGTGTCCAAATTAGTTGCAGTTTGGACTTAGGTGATTCAGACACATCTCACTGGAGCCCAGTTCTTCATCCCTACAGGGGAGAATACGGATTTTCCCAAAAGAAGTTAATCTGATACTTGTCAGAATGGTGATGAAAATTTAATAGCATGTTTGCTGGGATAGGCACCAAACCCAAACATGCTTTAATAGACTGGTAGCATATCAGCGACTGCAGTGTCTGTGTTGTTTGGGTTGGTCATGATTTACTCTCTTCAGTTACTAATTTTCTTCACATTGACCCCCTGATGCAGACTCTGTTTAGGACAGAACCATGTAAACCAGCCATGATGTCCTCTACTGGGCAGCCACGTGCGCTCGTGGCTCCTACGTTCTGCCCCAGATCCAGCCCTGGGTGTTTCCCCTTGTCAGGCAGCAGGACAGAAGCGACTCGAAGTAGAGCTCGAAGAATACTAGAGAACCAGAATTTTTAGAAATGACGAGTCTGCCTCAAAGCAAGACTGTCTCTGCCAAGGAAGCTGAGGTGGGAGTAACCTGGCCCCAAAGATCCATTCAGGCCCCATGACACCCTAGGCCCATGGCTGGGTGGCGAACCGCCCCCCCCCCCGCAGTAATCACAGTTTGAGTGTGGGGGCTCCCCCCGGACAGTGAGGCTCCAATGGAAGACAATGGAATGACATCCATTTGTACAGGATGCCAGGAGTTTTGGACAGAGCAAAATTCTGTAAAAATGGACCATGTAAAATGATTCACACACACTCAGGCTCATGGTCACACTCACACATTTCTGCAGGTTCCGAGCCTACCTCTCTATTGGAGGAAGCTTGGCTGGTCAGGAAAGGACAGTGAGGAAGGGGTCCCCAACCACGGGGAAGCCAGGACCCCTAGGTCCTGGTATGCGTAGCAAAACTAGATATGTATCTTTGCCTGAGTAGGGCCAGCCCCTGAATGATGAATAGATCTTGCTGTGGGACCTGGGACTGGGGTGTGGTTTGTGACATAGGATCAGAGTAAGGGCTTGAACCAGATGGGCCTGTTGGGGAGTTGGGGTGAGGGTAGGCGGGGAATCTTGCTGGAACTCTGGTTTTTTTGTGTGTGGTGACACCTAGTGGCAGGTCACCGGTCTTCAATGCTGCCTTTCACAAAGAGAGAACAAACTGACCATCAGCCCTTGGACACAGGTTGGGGGTGGAAGATTTTTACTCCCCGAAGCCCTGACTCCCAGTTTGAAGGCTTTGTGGAGTGTTTTAGAAGTCCTCTGGAGAACAGGAGAGCCCAAGGCACTCCAGTTGCTCGAATGGGAGCCCTTTGTCAAGGCTCAGTTTGGGTTATGGAGACTAGGTACTCTGGTCAGTGTCAACACAGTGACATTTGCCCCTAAATCAACATGGATATTGTAGAGAGGGAGAAGCTTAGACACCACAGGCCATCCTGATTTTCCAGCCAGCCAGCCGGGTGGTATCTGTTAAGTACCAGGCAGGGTGCTGGCCTATGGAGGACAGGGTGAGCTAAGTGGGCCCTGGCCTTCTAGTCGGGCAGGGGAGAGACGATAAACAAGTACTCCAGCAAGACCTTCTCAGAAAATTGGGACTGGGCTATGTGACCCAGAGGGGTTGGGGGTGGGGGGGACACAGAACCTGCTTCAGTTACGCTGTCAGGAGAGGTTCCCTGGGAAGGCGTCTTTAAGCACATTGAAGGGTGAAAAGAAGCCAGCCCGGGCTCAGGGGGATACCCAGTGCAAAGGCTGCTGGGGGAAAGAGTTTCTTGGTATGTTCTAGAAATAGACTCGGGTTAGGAGGGCAGGGTGCAAGGGGAGGTGTGAGAAGGAGGCAGGACCGCCGATGCGGGCCTCGTGGGTCCTTGTGTGGGACAGTGGAGTGGAAGGAAGGGAGGAGGGGTCCCTGTGAGAAGTGATGTCCCACGCCTGGGCTTTCCCACTCAGCTGGCTAGGGAGTTAGGGTTTGTCCGCTACACTGGGGATGGCGGGGCTGCCTTCCATCAGTGGCCCTCTGGAGGAGGTGGCTTACCCCTTTTCCTGGTTATTGGTGTTCATTAGGCTTTTTTCTGAGCCCAAAGGAGGTGACAGGTGAGAAGACAGTACAATAGGGAGCCTGGGTGGGGGGAAGGATGTGGGGGGAAGGAAGGCCCCAGAAGGGACATGCTACGTCAAGTATACAGCTCTAAGTAAGCCCCAGCTTGCCAGCTTTTTAGCCCCTCGTGGGGACTTTTGGGCCAGAGCCCGTGTGAGCTTATGGGAACTGAGCAGTTGACGGGGACCTCCAGGGAGGCACTGCCCAGGGCTCTGGCACATTTCTGAGTCTGCCTTCTGCACAGAGAGCAGGCCGGCCTGGGAGAGCCTGCTGGTCCAGGGCTTGCTGGCCCCTGAAGGATGGACGGCATGAGGAGTGTCCTTGGCTCGCAAGCCAGGTTCCCTTGGTCCTCCCAGCGCAGCTCCTTGGCACCAGGGCTGCCGAGGCTCCACCCCCACCAGCTGCTGCGTTATTTCTGACTCATCCAGGGGTTACAAGTGTGTAACCCAAACCCCTCCACGCCCGGCTTCCTCTCCGCCAGCTCCTCCTAGAGGGGGGAAGCCCTGGGACTTTTCTCCTGGGACCTTTCTGCAGGTCGGGTCCCTGCTGTCCCCGGACGCAGCTGCTGCCTGCAGGGCGCTCCCCTCTGACGGGGGGTGGGCGCGTGAGGGTGACGGCCGTGAGCTCAGGTGGGTATCTGTGCCCCACAGCCCCGGCTTGCCTGTCCCCATCGAGGGACTCCTTGGAACCCAGCCCAGGCGCCAGCCTCTTGAATTCATCAGGGGCTTTTGCGGAGAGGGGCCACCCTTGTGTTTGGGGCTGGGCCCCGATCTCTCGGTTTCTCCAGCCAGAGGCGCCGGCTGGCTGCCTCTGGTCATGTCACTTCTGCTCCTTGTGGAAGTTGCATGCTTTGAAAACCTGGGACACTTTGGGCTTCATTCAGCACATCTCCGGTGGCTCATCGCAGGGTTGTTGCTGAGGGGGTGGCTGGAAGGTCAAACTGGCCAGAAGTTCTGGGTCAGCTCAGTGCCCTGGGCCCAGCAGCTCCTCACAGAGGGTGCCAGCCCCCAGCGCCTGCTCCAGGACCGAGCCGCTCAGTCTGGCGGGCTGGGGCCAGCAGGGGTGAGGCAGGAACAGGCAACTTGCCACCTGCTCTGGGCTCTCAGAAGCGGGACCCTGAAGCCCTGTGGGCTGCCTGACAACTCCTGCCGAGTACCCGGTCTGTGTCTGGTGTGTCGTCCTGACCCCCGCTTCAGTGCCTCTCCTCGCCCTGCAGGAGTCCCCAGGGCTGGCCAGGGAATGAACCGCGAGGGGGCTCCCGGGAAGAGTCCGGAGGAGATGTACATTCAGCAGAAGGTCCGCGTGCTGCTCATGCTGAGGAAGATGGGATCAAATGTGAGTGCCTTCGGGGTGCCAAGCAACAGGTCCCCCAGGGAGGGTGCCTGATGTGGGCAGAACAGAGATCCATAGCCACCTCCTGTGACAGCCCTGCTCTGGGAAGGGGGATGTGGGGCTTGTGGTTTGGCTCTGTGGCCAATTCTTGTCACCCAGAGCCCTGCCCGTCCAGTTCCGGGGGGGACTGCTGGGGTGGCCTTCCCATCCCTGTGCCGAGCGTGGGCCGGGAGGGGGCGGTGTGAGCCCCTACAGGCCCTGACCTTACTCTCCTCCTGTCTCCGCAGGAGCTGTCCAGGGGGCGCTGGGCAGAATGGTCCCTAAGAGGACAGCATGATTCAGAAAGGGATGGGCTCCCTGCGCAGGCCCCGGGCTGCACGGAACCCAGTCTCAGATCTGATCCGAGCGGCAAGGCCTGGGCGGCCATGGGCCAGGCTTCGGGGTGGGGGCAGGGGGTGCTCGCTCGAACTGAAGGGTCAGGACTCGGGAACAGGGACCCCGGGATAGGAGGAGGTACCTTCGGGGAGCCCGTGCGTGCCGCCCCTCACCCGTGGCTGTCTCCCCCTTGCAGCTGACGGCCAGTGAGGAGGAGTTCCTGCGCACCTATGCGGGGGTAGTCAACAGCCAGCTCAGCCAGCTCCCCCAGCACTCCATCGACCAGGGTGAGTCCCGGCCAGGGTGCCCGGCCACGCCCTTCCCAGAGGCGCTAAGTTGTGGTTCTTGGGGAAAACTTAGCTCCTGGGGCCCATGAGGAGGGGCTGTAGCTGCCACCCATCCACAAAGCTGAGCCCCAAGCCTGGGCCCATCTCCTTCCCCAGATGGGAGCCGAGGAACCCCTCAGGTAATGGTGGGATCCCCCCTTTCTAGGCCCGGAGGAGCCAAGGAATCGAGGCATCTGGGAGCCCCTGTGACTGCAGAGGCTCTGGGTTTTTGCATTTCCTCATTCTTTGGCTTGACCCCCGCCAACCCGGCACCTGGTGCAGGGAGAGCGTGAAACCACCCTCATGGGCTAGGACCTGTCCTGGGCACGGCTGTGCAGGGGCTTGTGTGTTCCTGGCTCCGCCCAGGCGAGAGACCCCAAGGGCTCTGTGTGTGTCCCTGAGGTCTCTGTCTGCCCTGGGGACTCATTTCCATTTTGGGTGCCCTCACCTGATCATAATAATGGTAGCAGGTAACACTCAGGTATTTATTGTCTAGCAGGCACCTGCTGGGTGCCGGACACACATCATTTCATTTACTCGTAGAGAGGTACTGGGGGTATTACTCGCACTTCGCAGGCAAGGAAACGGGTTCAGAAGCAGTAAGGGATCGCCCTGGTCTTACAGCCCGTTAGCAGAGGGCTCAGGATGCACAATCTGCTGCCCAGCTCAGGGCAGGGCTTGTCACTGTCTGTCCTGGGGTAGCAGGAGGCTGGGCACTTACGGGCTCTCCCATTCTGGAAGGCTTACTCTCACCCTGGAGCCCACAGTGTCCTCACCGGCTCTTCCATCTAGTCCTTTCCTTTTATTTTTTTTTCGCCTCATTGGCATTATCGGCCATGAAATAGTGCGGCCTGTGGGGCATCAGATGTGAGCTGGCTCCCGGCAGCGGAGCGCCGAGGGGCATGTGGCTGATCCGTGGGGCCCAGGAGGAGAGCAGGTGTAGCATGAGAGGCTGCTTGTCTTGAAGCTGTCCTTGCTCTCCTGGAGATCACAGGCCTCAGTTCTGGCGCAGGGCCCGGCTCCCCGGCTCTGACGCTGGCTGTCACCTGGCCTGTGCACCCAACTCAGCAGAAACGTACAGGGCGTCCCCATGGCTCCGGCAGCTCCTGACATAGCCACTCACCAAGCACAGTCTGCCTGGGTCACACTCATGCCGCAGCCTGTTCTGTACCAACGGCCAGGGGTGGAGTCTGCCCCTCCTGGGGTTTGTTTCTTTCTCACCCACGGCTGATCTGGGTTTCCAGCACGGGCCCACCCATACCCCCCAGGCTCCTGAACCATATCTCCCTGAAACCCTCAAGGTCCTGGGTCCTTAGGACATTGCCTTTTCTCCCACCCCAACTTTAAGTCACTGAATTAACCAGAATTGGGGCTGGGTGATAAGGATGCCTCTAGGAGGATGCACTTCAAGGAAAAAAAAATCATAGTAAGTTGTAGAACTGTATGTCATTGTAGAAAGCACCCCCCCAACACACACACACTCACACATGTATGTGTATGGGGAAAGAAAGCTGGAAGAACATAGACCAGGCTGTTAATAGGAAATTTTAATAGAGAGTAGAACTATGTAAGGGACTTTAACTTTCCAAGTCACACGTTTTTTGAAAACTAATTTTTTAAAAATTTTTTTATTGTTGTGTTAATCACCATACATTACATCATTAGTTTTTGATGTAGTGTTCCATGATTCATTGTTTGTGCATAACACCCAGTGCTCCACGCAGAACGTGCCCTCTTTAATACCCATCACCAGGCTAACCCATCCCCCCACCCCCCTCCCCTCTAGAACCCTCAGTTTGTTTCTCAGAGTCCATCGTCTCTCATGGTTCGTCTCCCCCTCTGACTTACTCCCCTTCATTCTTCCCCCTCCTGCTATCTTCTTCTTTTTCTTTTTTCTTAACATATGTTGCATTATTTGTTTCTGAAGTACAGATCTGTGATTCAACAGTCTTGCACAATTCACAGTGCTCACCATAGCACATACCCTCCCCAATGCCTATCACCCAGCTACCCCATCCCTCCCACCTGAAAACTAATTTTTTAACATTGCACATGCATTTCTTCTGTAATAAGGGGAAGTTTAAAAAAGCATTGAGAGAACTCTCTATCTCACCTAGGTAAGCCAGCAGTTGAGAATAAAAATGAACTGTGTGGAGTTAAGGTCATGATAGCCTCACCTGGCCTGAAAATGCTGAGCAGTCAGGAGTGAGCCATGGGCATGTGGGTGTGACCCCAGAATCTAGGCCCTCCTAGTTGTGGGGTGTCCGAGGGACAGCCAGGCTGGCCTCAGAGCCATCTCCCCAGGGAGCAGACTTCTGGAGCTGCACCAGGGCCCAGCTGATGTCTGGGGTGATTCTCTGCTGTCGGGGCCCCCTGCCTGCTGCCCTGGGTCCCCACGGACTCCCCTGAGCTGAACTGCACAGGAAGACACGCTGCTGCAGGAAGTCCTGAGGATTCCTGTGGACTGAGTTGGGGGCGAATGGGCAGCTGTGCCTGGAAGAGCTTTAGGAAGGTAGCATTATTTTTGTGTGCCTAAGGACACTGCAGACATGCACAACACAACAGCAGTCGGTACAGTCTCTCCCGTCGTGGGGGCACAACCCCGGGAGCAGGACCCTGCGTCTCTGCCCACACTGGGGGGCCAAATGGGTCTTGGCTAACATTCTAGCCTGCCCACCTTATCTGTTGGCAGGGCCGACCTTAGCTGATGCCACAGGGATGCTGCTGGCAGGGGCTCAGGTGCTGTCCAAATGGTAAAAGTCCCGGATCATTGTTTCCAGTGCATGGGATCCCAGCATAAGAGGCCCCTCCCCCCCCCGCCCCCCAAATAAAGGCCTAGGAGCAGTCAAGGTGACAGTCTGGGCTTGACAGTCTGGCAGAAATCTGGTGTGAGCACCTCCTGCCACGAGGTGGCACTGTGTCTCAGCAAATGCCCAGCGCTAGTCTCTGCAAGAGACAGAACAGACTCCTTGAGTTCCCCTCAGTGGGGGTCTGAGGCCACCCACCAACAGGACAGAGCTTGGCATTGGTCTACCATCGTAGACTCACACACGCTTCCCCTCTGGGGCTGGAGAGGTCTGGTACTGGGAGCCCTGCTGGCCCTCCCTAGCCCCAGGGAGGAGAGTGGGCTGGGCATCCCTTGCCCCACGCCCGGGCCTCCCGCCCTCCTGGTCTTCCCTTGGTGAACTGTGAAAGTGTGTACAGTATCGGCTGGGTCCGGGCAGGTGCCGGAGACCATGCTGTGTGGGCCTGCACTGTAGGGACTCCCTAACCAGTGCTGGCCTCTGCTGGCCTGAGACCTCCCATGCTAGCCTCCTTTTGGAAGCCCTCCTTCCCCTCCGTCGTCTTCTGTGATACACCTCTCCCTGTCTCTCCGTCTCCCCCAGCTCCCCTTCTGCCCCTCTCCGCTCACTGTCTGTAAGTGCTCCTTTTCCCGCACCCCACTGGTGCTTTCCACATTCTGCCCTCCCTTCTGTCACACCTCCCCACGGGGGTCTCACAGGCTCTGGCCAACACCCTCCGAATATATACCCTCAGCCCAGACCCTCTCCTGAGCCCCCGGAACTTTACATGCAGCTCCCTCCTGATCATCTTGCCACAGACAACCCACGCTCAGATCCCGATTCGTGCTCTACCCCCACGAACCTATTCTTCCGCCTGTATTCTCAGCGACGGATATATCACCAAATAACCAGTGTGCCAGGGACTCCTCTTTGAAGTCCCAAGTGTCCACTGAGTTACCAAGTCCTTGTAATTCTTCTCCCCGAATGCCCCTCAAACCCGCTCTGCCCTCTCCACCGTGGCCGGAACGCTCATTCTGTTCAGAGCTCATACTCATCTTGGCTTGACCCCTGCAAAGCCGTTCCTGGCGTCTTGCCTTCTCACCTTGCCCCCTCCCACACACTTCCTGCCCCTACCTCAGCAGCTCTTTCCCCAACTTAAAATCTTTCAGCGGCTCCCCACTGCCTTGCGGCTGAAATCCAGCCCCTCACGTGATCAGCAAGATCCCCTGACACGGTGGCCTCACGCACCGTAAGCAGCCATAGCGAATGGCTGTCAGCTCCTGTCTCAGGCTGGTCTTTGTGCCTCTGCGTTTGCCTCTGGGCTGCTGGGGGCTCAGCCCTGACCCCCAGCCTTCCCCTGCCTCTCGCAGGCTGGGCCAGGCCCCCTGTGGTTGCCGTCACACACATGTACCCCAGCTGTGCTTCTCCCCACCCTGTCTCCTGGTCCACCTCCTGAGCAACTCTGAGCCCCTTCAGCTTGGGACTGTGGCTTCCCCCCTTTTGTATTTCCGGGGCTGGGCCCCCATGAGGCCCAGGGCATGCTTGTACCAATGAACGGACCGGGCTGTGGGTCTGAGGGCCCACTGTCCCCCAGAAAGGCAAGAATGTGGGGCCAGTTCTCTGAGCACTGTCTCCTGCTCCCCCAAGGTGGTCAAGCAGAGCTGCCGGCCAGGCAGGACTGACTCTGAGCCAGAGGAGATCAATACCTCTCTGGGAAGGTCGCCTTGGTGAGAAAGCCAGCTGGAAACACGGGGGTCGAGAGCTGTAGCTTCCAAAACGCAGGCTCGCCAGAATGCTGAGTTCATTCCTTTCTTATTGCTGGTGCTACTCTCTCCATAACACATATTGATCTTTTTTCCTGGTTATAAAATAACGCACAGTCATTGTTGAAAGCGGGGAAAGGGAGAAGTAGCAGAAAAGCTGGACGGATTGAATCCGACCACACGGCTGCAAGCACTATTACCTCCTGCTCAAGTTCCCGTCAGCCTTTTAAAAATAGGCTTGTATTGGGGCGTCTGGGATGGCTCAGTCGTTAAGCATCTGCCTTGGGCTCAGGTCATGGTCCTGGGGTCCTGGGATCGAGTCGCACATTGGGCTCTTTGCTCGGTGGGGAGTCTGCTTCTCCCCATGCTTGTGTACTTGCTCATGCTCGCTTGCTTGCTTGCTTGCTTGCTTGCT